AGTTTTAATATCTTTGCAAAGTATGATGCCTTGGGTCCTCTATTTGCATCCCCAACAACATGAAGCTGGCCTTCCTCACATCAGTTACAGGATGGTCTGTGGGTTTTATGGGAATCAGGAGGCAGTCCAGAGAATTTCTTCCTGGATGTCACTGCTGAAGTGGTGATGCAGTAAGAGCCCCACAGCCTGCTGGCAGTCAGTGCTCTCAGATATTAAATAAACGTTCGTGGACAATTTTCAGGGTACGTATTGTACCATCTGTCAGAGCAGCACGGGGAGCTTTTAATTACGGTTTGCACTCTGTCTTTAAGCACCTGGATTCATTTTTTCATCCTGTCTATTACTGATGATGATTTGCTAAAAAGTGCTTTACTCCTGTTTTCTGCTCTTCCTTTGCAGCAGCTGGGCCAGAAACGGAGATGGGGAGGTGTCAGAGGTGTGCAGGAGGTGAGGACACTTCTTGCTCAGCCACTTCTCAGTGCAGGGGAAAAACCATGACCATTCCCGGGTTTATCTTTGGAATAATTTTCCTGGTGACTTACTTGTAGAGGGAAAATGGATCACAGCAGCTTCTTAGAGGAAGGAGATCTTGATGGGCTGATCCCCCAGCGTGGGCAGCAGGGCAGGGGGGATTCTGCCCCTCTGCTCCCTCAGTTGAGACCCCCCTGCAGAGCTGCTCCAGCCCTGGGGAACAGCACAGGGAGCACATGGAGCTGCTGGAGAGAGTCCAGAGGAGGCACCAAGATGGGATGGAGCAGCTCTGCTGTGGGGAAAGGCTGGGAGAGTTGGGATTGTTCAACCTGGAGAAGAGAAGCTTTGGGGTCACCTAATTGTGGCCTCCCAGGGCCTGAAGGAGCCAACAGGAAAGATGGAGAGAGACTATTGACAAGGGCCTGGAGTGACAGGACAAGGGGGAATGGCTTCACACTGCCAGAGGGCAGGGTTAGGTGGGATACTGGGAAGAAATTCATCCCTGTGAGGGTGGTGAGGCTCTGGCACAGGTTGCCCAGAGAAGCTGTGGCTGCCCCTGGATCCCTGGAAGTGCCCAAGGCCAGGTTGGATGGGGCTTGGAGCAACCTGTGCTAGTGGAAGGTGTCCCTGCCCAGGGCAGGGGATGGAACTGGATGTTCTTTAAGGTCCAGTCCTACCCAAACCATTCTATGATTCTATGACTCTGTGATGTAGAAGGAACTCAGCCCAGCTCCAGTGTTTCCACACATCTGTTGGCAGCCCCTGCAGTAACAACCCCCCTCACTCACTCTCTCCCCACAACCTGGATGTTTCAGACCAATTTGCTCTTGTAAGCTCAGCCATGAGACAGGTACTGGTGGAGGTTTGCAGCTCTGTTATTGAAGTTACTGCCTGTGGGTTGTGAGCATCAAGGGATGGCTCTGAAATCATCACTAAGCTGCAGTGAATAATGTCCTCAAGCTGTGCTTGCTGGAGTAGCTGTAATTCCACTCCGGAAAGCATAACACGGGAATGGCAGAGGTCAGAGAGGACCTGCTGCCTGCATGTTCGGGCCAGGTGGGATTGCATCACCTTCCAGTGACTTCTCCAGTGACAAAGTGCTGCTCTGAATTTTAGCATTCCGTGCCCACCACCCTCCAGGGCTCTCACAGAACAAAAGTGTGGTCTCCTGATGCGCACAAAAAACCCAAATCTATCTTTCACGGGGGATAAAACAAACACTCAGCCCATTTTCCCAATAAAAAAGTGCCCATGGAACAATAAGGGCACAGACCCAAAAGAGGTGGGAAAACCCAGGCTGCCAGAGATAGTTGCATCCATGATATGGCAGTTTCAATGAGTAATCACTTGCCAATACATATGGTGTTTTGTAGATGTGAAATGTCATGGAACATAACGTACTGATATGTTTAAAAATAAATTGCTGGGATAGCTTAAAAAATAAATGACTGAAGGGAAGGGACTTGTGGTGCATTTTGCTGTGGATTAATTTTGTCGTTCGATTTGGGTAAAGCTTGATTCAGGTGTCAAACTAAGTATTGACTTAATAAACTGGGGGGGTTTGCTTGCTCTCTGAGGAGTACTGGGGAACGAGGTCAGTTTCTTAATTAATTTATGCAAATTGCTGTTTCCTTCTACTCCGTCTAAATGTTAGTGACACCTGTCTTATCTCCTTACAGTTAATTGCATGGCTACAAACAGGGAACCACGCACAGGACTTTAGGAAAGTCACCAGCAGGGACGATGAAACTCTCAAAATGGACCCAGAAGAGCTGCAAAATGATCATAATAATGATTTAGGTGGGCACACACAGTTTGAAGCATCGATCAAAGCACAAGCCACCAAAGCCCTCAGCCCAGCTGAGCATCAGGAGGTGTTACCTGAGGGCACTGGGCTCCCATCACAGATGGAGCAAAGATATCCCTGCAGGAGCCTCGAGCATCAGGGTGAGCTCCTGGCTGACCGTCACACTGACCTCCCACATCCAGAGTTTGCCCTGCAAGGGGGTTGGAAGTAGGTGATCTTTAAGGTCCCTTGCAGGCCAAACCACTCCATGATTCTGTGACTCCAAGAGTACCTTCACTGAGCCTGGTCTGGTGGAATGTCCTGCTCATTGCAGGGGGGTTGGGTTTGATGTCCTTTAAAGGTCCCTTCTAACCAAACTCTTTTCTGATTCTATGGTTTCTCCATCTCTAGAACTGTGCTATAAACTGAGAGATTAATTAACAGAGAGCAAGGAGCTGTGAGATGCCCTCTACCTCTGGGAAGAGCTGTTGGGAGAGAAGGGCAGGGAGCTGTGCAGATAGGTAGGATGGCACCTGGGTGCTGCTGAGGTCACTGGAACAACAGTCACAAGGAAGCTGGAGAGGGATCCTTCATCAGGAACTGGAGTGGCAGGACAAGGGGCAACAGCTTCAAACTGGCAGGGAGCAGGTTTAGATTGGGTATTGGTAAGAAATTGTTCCCTGGGAGGGCGGGGAGGCCCTGGCACAGGTTGCCCAGAGAAGCTGTGGCTGCCCCTGGATCCCTGGAAGTGTCCAAGGCCAGGTTGGGCGAGGTTGGAGCAACCTGGACTAGTGGAAGGTGTCCCTGCCCAGGGCAGGGGGTGGAACTGGATGAGCTTTAAGTTCTCTTCCAACCCAAACCATTCCATGATTCTATAATTCTATCAGATAGTACAAATTCCTGCCCCACAGGGAGTGGCATAAGGGAAACAAGCACCTACAGCTCCAGCTATTGCAATGGGAATGGTGCACCCAAAATCTTCTGATGTTTCCTTCTCCCATCCCCTCTCTCTGAGTTATTTGTGGAAGAGAAAGTCTTCAAGATACCCAAAAAAATCACACCTGTATTCATTTTGCTAGTAACACTCCAAGCAGGTTTTGGGTTTTTTTTTAAATAATTTCACATGGTTTGATTAAGGCACAAGGAAGGAACCAAAGGTGGCACAAAATCCCAGCAAAGGGACGGGAGTGGAGGAGATGTTGGTGCAGCTGTACAGAGCAACCAACTTGGTCTGAATGCCAATTTTGGGGCTTCCTAATGATTTCATCACCCACAGACAGGACAAACTGGATCAGCTGCAAGCTCAGTCCATGCAGATGTAGCAGGAAAATCTGCCTGTTTTCCTGGTGGAAGATATTCCAAAACCACTCAGCAAATGGCAAGTGCTTATTTCCAGGATAATTTGTCACTATTTCCTTTGGATCTTTTGCTTCTTTTGTGAGAGGAAAAAAAAACACCCAAGTTTCATTTAATAAAAAACATCATTGTTTGGGCACAAAACTTCGATGTTCTGCAAAAAAAAAAAAAAGAAAAAACAAACATGCAGATTTTAAAACTGAGTTCTAGGCTGTTTTTTGGGGTTTTGTTGGTTTTATTGTTTTGGTGTTTTAAAGAAACCTGCTTTTTTCAAAACTCCAAAGCCTCCAGCACTATTTCCAAGAGGTTCTTTATGTTTTATTCCCTTCTTTTTTTTTTTTTTTTTCTATTTCTGAAGGAGAACTATTTGAAAATTTGGCCAAGGTGAAAAAAAAAATAATCACAGAAGCCGTGTCTGTCATGAAAGTTACTTTTACTGGCAAAATCCAGCTCAGACATGATGACACAACATCCCCTTGGCTGCACAGAAGGGGAGCAGCCTTGGCCCAGCGGGAGGGCTGGAGGCAGGGCTGGACCCTGGGCCATTCCCACTCCTGTGGCACAGCAGGTTTCCTCCCTCTCTGTTGCTTTTTGATGATTGGTGTAAATAGTGGAGAAACTTTTCCTTATGAAAATATTCCATGTTTTTACAAGTTCACAGAAATGGCAGCATCACAGAACAGGTCACCCACAAGGGACCCACAAGGATCATCCAATCCAACCCCTGGCCCTGCACAGGCCCATCCCCAAGAGTCACCCCCTGTGCCCCA